TGCTGCTGTTTAATTTTTGGTTGACACATCTTTCATTAAATGAGACTTTGTTGGTAAATGTCTTTCACCTGGAGCATGTTGTCTTTTCCCCTAATTTTCTTCTCGGAGTCTACCACAATGATTAATTTACATGTTTAACAATGGTGGGGGGGGGGGGGGGCAGGCTTGTCACCTGCCTTTTGAATCTTTTACTTCTGTTTCTACTTAAGATTGAAAAAGTTTATTCTTACAAAACCTGTGAAATAGTTCCTCACGGCTGTAACTAAACCTGGGTTTGCTCATGTTAAAGTACGATTCTGTTCTTTGTCCTCCAGAGAAAAGTGCAGAAAGTAACATTATTTATTGTAACGGCTACAACTTTAGTCAAAACTAATAAAATCTTTAATAATCTCTCGTATGGACGTGCTGCAGTTCTTAAAGCCTGTTGATGCTCAGCCCTTGATGATCGTCACCTGCTGACCTGAAGTCCGCCAGACTCCGGAGCTCCAGTTTACTTTATTTACCGCAATGTTCGCTCTATAAGCCGCTACTTTTCCACACGCCTTGAACCCTGCGGTTTATACAATGCTGCGGCTCATTTATGGATTTTACTTGAAGTGCTGGGAGTAATTGTTTGCACCAGCCATGTTCCATAGTTTTCACTTTGAATGATGATGAATTCAGTGAACCTGGATTTATGTTGCACCAAATCACAGAAGTCGTCTCGGTACTGAACAGAAACATTCACGTGCAAACGAAGGCCGGGCGGTAAAAGTTCTTTAATGAAGCAGCAGATTGTGTTGAATCTTCACTTCGTCTCAGTCGCCCATCCTGAGCAAGAACAGAGGAGACAGTGGAAAGAAAAAACTCCCTTTGAACAGGAAGAAACCTCCAGCATACAATTTTATTCCCAATAAAACTCGAGGAAAAGAGAGAGCATTTGTCAGACTAAAAAAGTTAAATCTGGTCCTCTGGACCATTTTTGAATGTCCAGAGGACCAGATTTAACTTTTAGATTTTTCTACCTGGACTGTTGAGCAGCATCGGGTCGTTGGTCAGACTGCAGCTGTTCAGGTGTCCAGGACCGTCACACCCAGATGTTTTGTCAGGAGTGCTTTCAGACGGCTCTTAAATCAGTTCTCCACTTCATATCGGTTATACGTCAAAATGCCAAAAAATAAAAAATGTCTTTCATTCCTCCACAAGACCTCAGGACCCTGGTCCAAGTCTTTGTAGGATGAAGATGCTCCCCTGACTATGACCTCTGACCTTTAGGTTCTCTACCAGACTCACCGTGAACAGTTTCCTTTAAACTTGACCGTGTTTCACACGTTCACTGTCTCTGACTGTCGGCTGCAGTCTCACTGAGGTTTACTCTTATTTCATGCTTTTAATAAACAAAAACAATGAATGAAGTTTGTTTTATTTGATTATAACAGGTGTGAACATGAATAACGTCATATCATGGTAGAGCTGCTGCCTCTCAGCAAGCAGGTCGTTGGTTCAAATCCCGGTCTGGAGGCCTTTCTGGGTGGTTTGCCTGTTCTCTCCGTGCTGCGTGGGTTTTCTCCAGTTTCCTCCCACAGACCAAAAACATGCACGTTGGACTGACTGGTGACTCTAAACTGTCTCTGGGAGAGAGAGAACGGTTGTTTGTCTCGTCTGTGTCTGTGTCCCTGTGATGGACTGGAGACCTGTCCAGGTGTCCCCCAGAGGTGGGACCAAGTCTCACGTACCGGTAACGTCTCATCCTCGACAGTCAAGTCAGAATCTGAAACTTGAAATTTCAAGTCCTTTTGAGTCATTTTTTTAAATCAATGTTGCAGCTACGTATACGTTAAATGTAAATAATAACCGTGTGTTCTTTTTAAAATCTATTTATCTCAAATTGTGATGAAAAGTGCAACTGAACTTACAAAGGGTTAAAAGTATTTCTAAAATTGCACATTTATATCGCCCAGTTCAATTAAACTTAGCAGCAAGAATAGTCTTCCTTTAAACTAATTTTCTAGAATAAACGTTCAGTGAAAATGCAGGAGGGCAGCGCGGTGGCACCACCGGTACACCTGCTGCCTCTCAGGGCGCAGGGTACCCTGGGTAGGGGGATGGGTTTGATCCATCTGAAGTCCACAACCATCTCCTTCATCTTCACATTGATGTGAAGTTGCTCCCCCTGCACCAGCCCCCCAGGTGCTCCACCCCCTGCCAGTAGCTGGACTCATCGTTGTTTGTGATGCAGCCCACCACCGTGGACACAGGACCACTCTCACTCCAACCACAGTCTGACTCGAGTCCACACCGCTGTGCACCCCACCTCTCGCAAAGTGACTGCTGGACATGGGCACCTGTGACCCCCGTGAGGAAGAAGTGGGTAAAGATGTTGGATAGATAATGAAAACATGTGAAATATGTTTTAACAAACTTCTGTTTTTCATAGAATAACTTTTCCTTGAGAGACCTGTGAGTGTTTCAGAGCTGGAATCTGTTCGTGTCAGAGGGGAGTCATAACGTCTGAGAGATCCACAAAGAAGAGAATCAATCCTCGACTGATTATTGTTTAGATTGTTCATTACTGTTTTAGAAAGTACTTTACTAATTTTAAAACAAGACAAGCTCTAAAATTATTATTTATGTTAGATTTTGTGTAGTATTGTTGATGATTCTTAGTTTGATTTTTGTAATCAAACTTCAAAAACAACTTTGGCGTCGTTCTTAGGATGAATATTCATGTTCTGGTATAAATTCTCCTTCAGTGACTGAGATCTGATCATTAAAGGGTGAATATATTAATGAAGTGGTTACTGGTATATAAACTGATCAGCTGGTGCTTTTAACAAGTGCAAAATAAGAAAAGAAGTAGTGAGTGAGGAGCAAGCGCCACTCTTCCTCCATTCACTCGTCATCATGTTCATCGCCACTAGACCGGACGATTAACAGCTCTTCAAACGTCCTTCCATCACCTCCAGTTAGTCCAGGACGCAGCTGCTCGTCTGTTAACAGAAAATATTGAAGTTTTACCAACCTCTGGACCCACCGGCCTCTTTACACGAGTCCAGTCTGAGTTCCATCAGATCCTTGCGGCTGTGTTCTGGTTTGTTTATGGTCTACACGCGCTTCATAAATAAAACGGACATTTGACACGAGCATTGTTTGTTAAAGATTTATAAATCTGGTTATTTGTCTAAATAAAAATGTACGTGTTATCGTGAGGACAAGTCCTTTTGTGTTCTCAGACTGGGTTTGATCTGGTTTTAAACAGTTTCATAATGGGATCCTCTGGGAGGACAGTAAAGACTCTGAGGTCTGACTCAAACCATTCAAAGGAATAAAACTTTATTCGTTAATAGACAGGTCTTTATGATTACATAGTTGTGTTATTTTTTGTCTGCTCCCTTCTTCAGGGGTCACAACAGCAAGAGAACTCCCTTCATGATGCAACCTGGGCTCGAACCCGCAGCCTCTAGATTATGTGACCGTAGCACCGACCACTGAGCTACCCTCAACAATGCACATATGAATAGACATAAATATTCTCAATTCAATCAAATCAACACTGCAGACTTCCTTCATTAAGACGGTTTCCATCAGAAAGCTTATTATTATTTTATATTGAAAAAGTTTTTTCATTAGATTAAAACTTTTTACTTGAACCAGGACTTGGAGAATCCTGGTGAAGGGAAAATAAATTAAAGTAAGTTATCGTGGTTACTGGTGAAGGTTTCATTACTTCTGAACAGTCTTGGGTCAAAATAAATCTGAGAGTTTACCACTAGATGTCACCCACTGGGAGAACTGGTGTCGTTCTTGTAAGGACTGGATTATTGAACTTCACTCACCACAGATGTGTCAAACTCCTGATTATAGAAGAAGCTTTGATCAAAAGTTCAGGCAAACTACGTTACTGATGTCACCAACAGATTCTGGGTCAGCACCAAACGACTCGTGGCTCAGGGACCTCTGACCCTCTGGGCGAGGAAGTCTCAGTCTGATCTGATCTCCATGGTTGAAGCTACATTTCATGTAAAGCGGGTCCAACTAACTCAACATCGTGGTTAGTTGAAGCTTTTGGAGCTGCAAGTCAGAAAAATCTACTGGAATGTCCCGTCAGTGGAATTTCTGACTTGGAAGGTCTGAGCATCTTGACCAGCCTGGACCTCAAAACTCAACTTGTTTGAATCTGGATCCAGTCTCACACGTTGTTGTTCCTTCCAGTTAGTGTCTTCAGCAGCTGTTTGTTTGGCTGAACAAAATGTAGACAAGCTAATTGTTTCATTTTGTGTTGCTACTAGCAGCTAGCCTCATCTCTGAGCGCAACCATTAGCAATACCTCCTGGTTTTCCAAGTTGCAACCTTTGACACAAAAACCTCAGGTCCCTCAATGCAGGACGCCAGAACCTCACACATTAGGGTGGACACAGTCCGGGACTCACAGAGGAACATCCTGTGGGTATGGTCCCCGGCTCGAGTCCGATTCAGGCAGAGGGACGACCCACGTCGAAATGCAGTCCATCATTCAGTGAAGGTGTAAATAGTAACAAGGTTTCTGCCTCGGCCGCAGGTTCCTGGACGTCCACCATCCTGCCCATCGTTCTCCTACATGACCCAACCATACAGTTCTTTGAAAAGCATCCTCTGACCCTTATTCCATAAACACCTTGAGGACTTTGTGTTACGGCGGCTCCTGTTATCTCCAGTTCGGCCTGGTGGTCTTGCTCGATTCCCTGACATGAGTTGACTTGTCAGAGATGCTGCCGTTATCTCGGTGGTCTTTGCTGAGAACCAGCGAGTTGGTGAGTGAAGATCGAGTAGATGATCTGATGTTCTCAGATGTCCTCAGAGGAGATGCTGACCTTGAAGTAGTCAGTGACCCCGTATGGGAAACTGCTGACGAAGCGTTTAACGGAGATAAGGAGGAAATCTTGAAGGGGATTTTGGGGGAACCAGCGTGAGACAAAGAAGTAGCCAGTGAGGTTTTGGTCCTTCTGAAAGAAGATGACGCCGTGTTTAGTGCAAAGCCTGGAAGCACCGACGAAGAAGAGGTTTTGTTTTTGTGCAAAGGGGTGACAGGAGCACTGACACTGCCCCCTCCTTCACCTTGAGCGAGGGCTCGCAGCTTGATGAGGCACATTTTTTCATCTGTCTGGGTTTTAGGTTTTGTAAAGGCTTTACGGATCGAAGGCTTCTTTTGCACATCTGAGTTCTGCGTTCTGGTAGCTGCTTGAACACCTGAAACCTTCTGGTTCCTCAGTTCCTTGGACTCTGGCATCTTGTTGCTGGATCGTCTGGAAGGGGCAGTTGAAGGCCGCTCTCCTTGTCTGTTGGAAGCGTTCAGCTGACTGGTGGACACGGTGGTTCTGAAGGAGCTCTGGCTGTGAGCCGTAGGCTTTTCAGGATGTTTGGCCACAGCCGAAGCACCTCGGCTGGTGTTTGTGATGGGTACCACTCGCCTCATGCTCATGTTCTCAGAGCTGGTGAGGGTGCGGACAGATCTGACACTTGTTGACGTGTTTGGGGTCGATGGTTTCATCAAAGTATTTTGAGGTTTAGAAGTATGGAAGCTCTTGGTAGATTGTCTGGATGAAGTTGCCAGTTTTGCTTTTCCATCGGTGGAAGACGCCTTTTCTGTCAAACGTCTAGAAGACGTCTTGGTTTTGAAATCAGTCGTTTGCTCTGAGACAGGTGCCACATTGGCCTTCTCATTTCTGGTTTTCTTTGGCCCTTCCCCTTGACTGACCGATACGTTATCTTCCTCTACAGTCAGACCAGGACCAGGACTGGCAGGTGCAGGCTCTGCAGGATGCAGTCCAGGTGAAGACGCGAGGAGCGATGAGTCATTACAGCGGGACACTGGCTGACTGCTGATGGGTATGGACGCTGACTTGTCACTGTCCGGAGAAGGTTCTGAAGACATATGTTTGGGTGGGGGAGAGGAAGCTCGTTGGTTTTCTCCATGACTTTTACTCCCAAGCTGATCCTTTTCCATTTGTACATGTTCACTGGTGGACTCACACACACCTGTCACACACCAAACCATCACCTTGTCTTCCTGTTCCTCACTGTCCTGTCGTTGTGACGGAGACCTTGCTGCAGGAACTCCCACATTAGATTTCTCACCATCCTTGGAGTTATTCTGCAGATTTGGTATTTGCGACTTGTCCGCCACCTCTTCATGCACATCTTTGATTATCGTTCTGTCTTGCTGACGATGATGTTCGTCTTCTTCAAACGCTTTAAGCTCAGGAACCAGCGGACATTTCTCTGAGAGCACAGACACGTTGCCTTTAGGAGCTGCGCCCTGTTCGACGTTCTCATCAGTTTTTCTGCTCGAACACGAGTGAGTCTGAAGGTTTTCCTGGCTGCTCAAACTCACCCCAACTTGACTGTTGTCATTGTTGTTGAGGTCGGAGCGCTGGTTTGAACAAGAGGTACATTTAACCTCCTTCCCTTGAGTTTGGACGTCATCTTTGCTAATGAAAGTGGAGTCCGAGGAGGTCTTGGAAGGTAATGGGATGGTTTGTGGGTCTGCCTTTGTAGATGTTCCTGTACCTGTGGGCTCAGATTTGGGTGAGGCTGATGGGAGACTTGTTCTCGAGTCTCCCTTTCCTCTTTGTTGAGGGACTTTGCGGTCTTTCGACAGTTTGAAGTATGTGCTCAGTTCACGCTCAGCAGCGAATAGTGGCGTGCTCGACGGAGGGTTCCGGGTTCGTTGGGAGTGCAATGAGCGCCCCCGAGTGACGCGGTCGCTCTTTGGGCTTGAACGGCGTGGGGACTTTGGGGTAAGGAGCGCCATCAGAAGTCCGGTGTCATCTTCGGACACGACGGTCGACATGTCCGTCTCGCTGCTGCAGCGCAACCCAACGGCTCCACGGACCTGTGGCGGGTTTGGATAGAGGAAACCCATTAGAGGTCCAGGACTCGTGTATCTGTGTTTTTCAGAGTGTGATTCTGTGTCCACATACCTCCTCTCCTCCGGCCCAGGAACGTCTCTTTAGTTCTTTGTCCTTCATTTGCTGAAGACGAGCTGCCTCCTTCGCCTCCCTTTCCATGTTTTCCTTTAAAGCAAGAAAATGATTTTACCACCAAACGGTTCACTGTGGGTACGTGGGTGGGTAGGTACGTAACTAATCCCATGGGGGGAAATTTATAAAGTGTAACTGAAAGCTGATCCTCCACTTTTACTCAGCACCATGGAACGTCAAAAGACTACAAACGATTAACGTTTGAAGTCAAGACCAACAAAGAGACATGAATGACTTCCATGGCTTTTATTTCATTTAATTTACTTTCTTGTAATCTAAAGGAATGTATTATTCATGACCAAAAAACTCAAAACAACAACAAAAGTTTAGTTTTTATTAATATAAGCTGAATAAAAGGGGACAAAAGTTTCTCCTAATTAAAGGAGACGATCACTGTTTAAACTTTGTCATTAAAACTCTATTAACGTGCACCAATGCTCCTTTGATGCTTCTCTGCTCTTAGGTCTTAACGTGTGACCCTCTGGAGTTCATGCAGACAAACATGTCCGCAGGTCAAACCTGTCTTCAGTCTTCAGCCGTACGAACGTCGAGTGTGTCTCAGTTTGTTCGGGCACCTTGACAGCGGTGCTGAATCTGACGCAGAAGGTGTGGAAGACGCCGAAGCAGTCGTCCAGCCTGAACGTCTCCCTGTCCTCGCAGAAAAAGTCCATCAGCTCGTCGCCTTCCTTCTTCAGCTGCTGCTGGCTGCCGCGGAGCGAGCACAAAGACGCCGTGGCGCTCTGGAAGACAGAGGGACGTTCTGTTAAGGTGCACGAGCTGCTCGCAGCCTCCGCCCACACTGATCAGGAAAACAACTGAAGCAAAGACCTGAGCTAGCTTCACGCTAAAACTGAAGCACATATAGCACGTATGTAAAAGAGGTTAGCCGGAGAAAAACCTGCTCTTCTTCTGAATCTACTGACTCAGGCCACGGACTGTTGGACAAATTTCAGCTGATGTAATCTGCTATAAGGATGTTTGAGACAGAAACATCAGAGAAATTAAGTGTGAATGCTTATTGCAGAAGAACTTGCTGAAAAACAGCGGACATTAGCTAAAAACAAGCTGAAATGTAGCTGAAATGAAAAAACAAGCAAAGAAATAGAAGAAAGCAGAAAGAACACAAATTTGCTGGATTAGGTTTAAATAAGCAGAAATGAGCATAAAAATTAGGAGATCAGCTAAAAAAAGACTGACATTAGCACAAAACAACTGAAAAGTAGTTGAAAAGGAAGAAAGAGTACTGAGTACACAATACACTCTATTATTCACTCTATTATTCACTCTGTTATTCACTCTGTTATTAACTCTATTATTCACTCTATTATTAACTCTATTATTCACTCTATTATTCACTCTGTTATTAACTCTATTATTCACTCTGTTATTAACTCTGTTATTCACTCTATTATTCACTCTGTTATTAACTCTATTATTCACTCTGTTATTAACTCTATTATTCACTCTGTTATTAACTCTATTATTAACTCTATTATTCACTCTATTATTCACTCTATTATTCACTCTGTTATTCACTCTATTATTCACTCTGTTATTAACTCTGTTATTCACTCTATTATTCACTCTGTAATTAACTCTATTATTCACTCTATTATTCACTCTGTTATTAACTCTATTATTTACTCTGTTATTAACTCTATTATTAACTCTATTATTCACTCTATTATTCACTCTATTATTCACTCTATTATTCACTCTGTTATTAACTCTATTATTCACTCTGTTATTCACTCTATTATTCACTCTGTTATT